ATGGACTGGTAATTCGGGACTTGATAATGGTAAACGGGTCAAGAGAGTGGACCGTGAGGGGGGTTTAATTGAGAAACCAAATCTTGGTGGCTTGTATAGTTTTGGAAGCCAACTGCATCAAGGTATGTTTGTTAATTATTTGAAGTATGTTTGCTAGTTCTTTGAAGCATGTAAAACCAATTGCCTCATTGGATTCTGTAAGAAACAATGAATATCAACTTTGAATTGATTTATTTTCTAAATAATATCGCTCTCTTTGCATGTGATTCCCCCACCTCCCCTACCCCACACCCACAACACAATTTCTATGCATTTTTTCGGTCAAAGGGAAAGCTTAATTATGAGCACATTTCTGTTCGTTTTATGCATACATTGGTTGATGGCACTCCCTTTCATTATCTGAGGCCAATTTGTGTCCGTCTGTGTTGCCTATGTAACTTGCTTTGCTTTAAACAGGAGGGCCGAGCGCCGAAAAGAACAAGGAAGTGTCTAAAGAAAGTTTTTCTGGTATTTCAAATCAAATATTCAACCGGGTGCCAATAAAATCGATCCCCGCAGCCTACACACTAACCCATCATAAATCTCACCATTCTATCCCATCATCTGAATTGAACAAGAGTTTCTCAGATGATCAGAACTCATCCACTAAGTGTGTTAAACCTGTTGATAAACCATTTATTGGCCCCGTATCAGCAATCATGGCTTCCCCTACGGTTGTCATTAGGCCACCACCTTCTAACAATGGTTACATTAAACAGTCCACTCTTGCCCGTAAGCCCACCCAATGTGACAATGTTGAAAGTGTGCAGAGTGTGAAGTTTAGTCCAGTACCTAATTCCCAGTTTAAGGAAGGTACGTCTCAAACAAGCCTTTTCGACATTCCCGATCAAGGGAATTTTTCTGTTCTACCGAAAGAACTTTCAACACCGCTGCAGTCTAGGGACTCACTTGATCGTAAGTGTAAGGCCGGATTTGGGTCTCAATCGCTTGATGTAAGTAATCATGGTGGGTTTAATATAGCTTGTGGTAATAATGTACAAGTGCTAAAGTCCTCTGAAAATTCTTTGGAATTTGTTGTGGATTCGCCTTGTTGGAAAGGAGCATCGTGTTCTTCTCAATTTTCGACATTTGATATCGAAGCTGGAAACTCTAACAATTTCAAGAATAATATGGACGAATATAATGGGTCCAATAATGGAGCACACCAACAGAATCTCGACCTGGTCATTAATTTCAGTCAAGGTTTTCCTGGAAAGTCTGGTGAAGGCAACAGTAACAATGGAAAAAATGAGCTTGATTCTCATTGTTCAAGTAAATACTATGGTTTATTGGGTGATGCAAAATGCAGAGGTTGGATTGCAAAAGAAAATGAGACTATTAATGAACCCAATTTGCTGGGAAAACAATCTGTCCTTGCAAATGTCTTGACGGGTGGTTCTGATGAGAGAATTTCCAATGCCAAGCATTTAACTAATGAAGTTGAAGTGACTACTCTAAATGATGTCAGTGAAGGTGTTAATGTTGCTGTTCATGCTGCCGAGAAAGTTCTGGCTTCGCCTGCTTCTCAAGAAGATGCCAACGAGCGTATTAAAGAAGTCGATCGAAAATTGCTCGTGCCAACAGTGTTAAAGGCAATGCATAACCTTTCCGAGTTGCTTATGCTTCATGTTTCGAGTGAGTCGTGCTTTCTTGAGAAAGAAAGTACGGAAACTCTCGAGAATATAATCAGCAACCTTAATTCCTGTATGCAAAATAAATTCACTGAGGCGGGTAGGAAGTTGGAATTAAATAATTCTGCTGGAGACAGACCTTGCAAACTTTGGGAGTCCCGTAATGTGGTATGTTTTGTTTGTGGATATGCACAATATTTAAGACGGCTTATAGCTTATTGGATTCATTTTTTGATGAAACCATGTTATATTGTGTTTTTTTCTTTGCCAACCTCCTGTGCTTATCTCTACTGGTTTTTGGTTTTGAGTGTTTCTAACAACCTTTTCATTTTGATTTTTCTTTTTTGCTGCGGGAGAATATTGATGAAATGGGTGTGACGAGATGAAAGAGAACTGATGAATGTTAGTGCATATACAATAGTAAAATGAATATTAAAATATGATTGGTGATTGGAAATGTGAGAGTACATAGTGAAATTTGTCAAAAAATATGTAAAAATTTATGGTTGATTTGCTTGCTTATTCTAAATATATTGATCTAAAAAATTATTGTTTTTCTTTCTCTTTTGCTTTTTTCTTAACCCTCCAAGCTTTCTGACTTAATTTTGTCTCCAGGGCACAGTTTTAGGAAGTCACACGATAAATGAAGCTCTATTTTCAGATTTCAAGCTTGATCGTCAGCTCAGGCACGACCATGAAGGAAATAACAACCTTTCTGTTAAGAAGGATGATAAATCACCAATTTTATCATCCTTGATGGATGACTTAGACATAACAAGTGATGACAATATGACCAAGGTACATAGGAAAACTTAAGCCGTGTTCTTGAACATTATAGCCTACCATCCATTATGTCTTCGGCCATCTTGCAGGCTATAAAGAAGGTCCTCGACGAGAATTTCCAACTAAATGAAGAAATTCACTCAGAAGCAGTTCTATTCAAGAATTTGTGGCTTGATGCTGAAGCTAAACTGTGTTCCATAAGTTACAAAGCTCGTTTTGACAGAATGAAGATTCAGATGGGGCGGATTAGACTCAAGGGCTCACAAGGTTAGATTAACAAATTCAGGATAATTGTTGAAGTGTCACAAATGCCCGCTTCAGGGTGGAATTTATAAAAACGAAACAAGTTCAAGATAATTATTAAAGACGAAGATAATAAGGGTAAGCTGTGGGGGCATTTATGTAATTAAGTATAATATCCGTTGCTTGTAAGACTATAACCCTGATCTGTGAATGTGATCAGACAACGAAGATAGTGAAGTGTCTGAAGTTTGCGTTTCACCTGAAGGCATCACAGCTTCCGAGGTGGGCCTTAAGGGCCATCATGATGGCCCAATCCCAAAGCCCATTCTTCAGAATGTTCCTATTTCTTGCACAGGTGAGCCTGCTGATAGTTTGGAGGCTTCTGTCATGGCAAGGTTCAATATCCTGAAATCCAGAGAAGAAAGTGCAAAGCCTATGCATATGGAAGGACTACAAAAACCCGATAAGAGTGTCGATGGAGAGCATGTAGACCCTATTGTGGCCAGGTTTAACATCTTCAAATCTATTGCGGATAGGTCGGGAAAGTCGATAAACATGGAAAATGAGAATCAACGGTCGAATAAGATGAACAATGCATGCAAGAATCTGGATGAATTTCATCTTATGTTTGCTAATGATCAAAGAGTTCATTCTTTCAGGAATAACTTGGGAACCCGTGATAGTTTGCCTTCGGATTGGGAACACGTGATGAAGGATGATTTCTCGTGGAGGATCTCGTGAGAATTGGCGGTGGGGCCCACTCGAGATTGTGGATATCTAATTAGTACAATGAATGGCGGTTAATTATGGCCGATGCAGTTCGTTTTTTATCGCTTTTTTTTTTTTTNAATGTTCGACTCCGTGTATATATTGGCTATGTTTGGTAAACCTAGCTGATAAGCTAGTTTATAGCTTATTAGTAATTTTCGAGTTTATAGCTTATGACTTATGACTTATAGCTGAAAAGCTAGCTTATATGATAAAAGTGTTTGGTAAAATTAGCTGATAAGCTAGTTGAAATAAAAATTTCAACGAGCTTATCTAAAAAACTATCAAAAGAAGTTTATCAAATAAGCTCGTCCTACCAAACGGAGCTTATTTAAATATAGGGAACTTATAAACTAATCAAATAAGCTATAAGCTAGTTTATTAGTCTAATAAACATAACCATTGTAAAGAAGATGGAGATTTATTTGTATGCATTGAAAGCCTACAAATACGGTTGTTAAACACACCAAAGTCGCTCGTGAGTTCGACTTGAGCTTGAGTCTGGATCGACTCGTTTACTACTCCTTCACCTACTACAAATCATTCGAGCTTTTGTCAACAATTTCTTTTTCGCACGATGAAAGAATTGAGTCCTAGCCAATTTCTTTCAATTTTAGAATCTCATAATTAATTTAAGAGCCTCTAACCATAATTTTTTTTTCTTTTCAAATTTATCACAAGAACAAAGCAATAGTTGACATTTGAATTTTGAAGACAGTCTACACGAACTTTGCTTAGGGAATATAATTACAAAAGCTACCCTCCAAAAAACACCAACTTTAGAAAACAGCAAAAGACAGCATTTTTCGTGGTTCAAGGGGGGGCCCACACAATATCATTGCCCATCATTCTCATATACTCCAGTACTCCACGACTCAATTTACGAGCATGAGTTGAATTTCGAGCCTTAACGAGTCGAGTCGAAATCACGTGTAATTCGTTTCGTTTAACAATTTTAGTTCAAACTCCACAAATATGAGCAACATTTTTCCCAATTGAATTGTTGAAATGTTGTAATTACATGAGATATGAGAAAAATATTTCTTTAATAATTAATTGAAAATGCTTGTAATATTATTTTATTATAGAACATATATCTGTTGGCCCCAACCCAGATATAAAAAGTATTAATTAAAGTACAAGACATCTATATATCTGTTGGCCCCAACCCAGATATAAAAAATATTAATTAAAGTACAAGACAACTTCCTTTATCTTATAATAGAAACCAATCAACGTAAATACTATAACATTTTATATGCAATATGATATAAACCTCTCACGTGATCCTAACCACTAATATTTATGCATGTTTCTTCATGGATGAAAGTCAATAAGCATGCACCCTTGTTAATCATTTCTTGCTTGAAAATACAAAATCTAGAATAGCAAAAAATTGTATTAAACAAGTATATATCTCGAATATAATTATTAAACTGACACGTGTCAGCACATCATTCGCAGCTGGCGGATTGTGGCACGGCCCTGATTTTCTGTTATAAATACCCGTTTTGGGGGTGAAGTGAAGACACTCAACAATAACATACACGCTCAGAATATTAAGCAATATATTGAAAATGGCTTCTGCTAATAAGCTGCCGTTGAAAGCTCTTATTCAGTTACTGCTTTTGTGTGTGTGCGTTTATAGCTGGCCATCATCACAAAATGGGCTACAGATAAACTATTATCTAAATACATGCCCTAGTGCCGAATTTATTGTGAAAGACCAAGTTCAAAATGCGGCTAATGACGACCGTGGACTGCCTGCCTCACTTATACGACTGCATTTTCACGATTGTTTCGTGAGGGTAAATATAAAATTATATTTAAAAATAGTGCATCATTACTGCTTATTATTAATTCAAATTCAAATTCATGGAGTATGTATGTATGTATGTTAATTTTGTCAGGGCTGTGATGGGTCGGTGCTGATAGACTCGACTGACGGTAACAAGGCCGAAAAAGATGCGGCGGCAAATGTGAATAGCCTGAGGGGGTTTGATGTCATAGACAATATAAAGGAGAAGCTCGAAGATGAATGCCCGGGCATTGTCTCGTGTGCTGATATACTTGCCTTTGCAGCCAGAGACAGTTTTGAAATTGTACCGGAATTCAATATTTTATTTTCACCTAAAGTCATACTTACTATTAATGATGAGTAGGTACGTACAGATCGATTTCATATATTTAATTCTTGGGGTTTTTTGTTTAATTTGCACAGGCTGGGAACCTTGGTCCATTTGGTGGTTATGATGTGCCAAGCGGGAGGTTAGACGGCAAAGTCTCGATTGCCAAAGAGGCACAACAAAACTTGCCGGCTCCAATATTTAATTTGGATCAACTTACTAAGTCCTTTGCAAGTAAGGGTCTATCACAAAGAGATATGGTCACTCTTTCTGGTACGTACGTGATT